GATTTTTTTAAATCCTTATTACCAATCCAAAGTGAAATGATTTCAGCTTGCCTTGACGAAATAAAGTCCGAATCGATCTTTCGAACGTTTCTTAATGACAACAAAGGAAAGTGGGTTGGTAGGGAACCTTTTAAATAATATTCTAGCATTTCTTCCACGAGCCCTTCTGGTAAAACTTTATCAAACTCATGAATGTAATCCCAATATTTAAAACTAGATATTTGAAAGAACCGGATAAACGGTACAAAAGGTTTTAATGATACCTTGCAATAATTCACCTCTTGATCCGACCATTGAGTTACTTTTTTCTTTTGACAGAGATTCACATTCTTTGAAAGTATCCAATCAAGCACAGCATTCCAAACATGAAATTCTTCGATTGATAAATCATCTATTTGTAAGAATTTGGTCAAGAATTCTTCAGACAACTCATTAAATTGATCAAAGCTGATAAACCATTTCGTATCTTTACAGATCAAACGGATAATTGATGTCCGCAGTTGTGGAAAATCTTCGTTATCAAATACCACAGGAATTAATTTGAAAATGTTTTCGTTGATCCAACCGGACTGAGATTCGATAATGTAAGTTTGAAGATACTCAAACATACTCGTCAGCTCGAAACGGTTGGCAGCTTTAATTAAGTTTAGAATGAATTCCGGATCCTTGGTCGAAATATCGATTTCGTTACCGTAGATAAACCTACCAGCAAAATAAATAAATAAATAAATAAATATTATTAAAAGAGACGGAAGTACCGTAAATAATAAAAAAGGAACTTACTCTAGAATGATGTCAAATAACTCAAAGGTATATTCTGGAAATTTAAGTTGATAACAATTTGTCGTATCAAGTTTGTTACATTCGTCAATACGTTGAAATTCTTTTTGAAAATAAGAACTTCTAACTTTCAAAATGAGAGAATGGCCGATCATTTGTTTGGTATTAGGTTTCCGGTTTACGATAAAGATAACATCATAATTAACATTATTTCGACGTATTTGACTTATTTGTTGGATAAAGTTTTGGTGCGAAGGCAACGGAATCATATTTACAAGCATAAAGAAAGTGATGATGAAAGGAATTTTATTTATGTGAAAGAACCAGGAATGGCTTTGAGGCTGGCTTTTTTCACATACTGACGTTTTTTCTGCATCAGCACGATTAATCTCTACGATTTCAAAGTCCTCCTTGCGGATAGTAAGCGTCAATAGAAATTTGGTTGGTCAACTTATTTAGTTGATTTTAATGGTAATCATAATAATATATAATAATAACCATAATGATAAAAATGATAAAAATAAAATTTTCACACCTTTCCCCTAATGGTAATAATCATTTGAAAATAAAGATGAAACACAATATTTTAAAACCTGCATTGAAAACTTTAATTTGATATTGTTTTCCAGGTTTTTTTCCATTATATGCTGACAAGAAATTAAATCTTGTTACGATTGGTTCACAATTATCAACGACGTCGTCATTTTACTTTTTTTATTTTTACCGTGAGATCCGAAAATAATTGAAGGATTAGAGTAAACTTATTAAACTTCAATTATTCTAAATATAAAGCGAACATCAAAAAGATTATTTATATTTTGATCATGTTATCATATTGAAAGGATAAGACCGAACAGAAAGGTCAAACAAATTACTTCCAATGGAAGAATTGTGCAAGCGTGAATGTAATAAATTAGGGACTAACGTTAATTATGCGGTAATCAAATTAAAAATTACCCACTAAATTACACCAATTAATGTGGTGTCGTTCAAATAATTTTTTTTGATGACACCACAGATTAATTTGTAACCATCTTATTTTTATTTTTATCTATTTCAATATTTTATAAACAATTAATGAAATAAATGAAAAAAATTGGTTTACTGGCTTTGATTCAAAGCACAGAGATGTATATTTGTTTGGAACTCACTATTCGCAGAAGCTTGTTCGACAACACTCCCTCTGATGTTGCTTTTAATTGCGCATTTTTAAGAAAAGGTTTTACAAGAAATTAAACACGTATTCACAGGTGTTTAAATCCAAGGTTTTAAAAAAAAAAAAAAAAATTCATATCAAATGTTGTGTACAAATCATCTTTGAAGCAGTAATATATTAAATTTTAATATGTTCAACGATTTGTTGATCACTGCACATTATTGCTTTAATTCTATTTTTTTTTATTTTTTTGTTGTTTTTTTTTGCAAAGCATTAAAAAAATTAATCTTTTTTTTTTTTTTTTTAAATTTTTTTTTAATTTTTTTTTTGTGACGAAATTTTTTTTTTTTTTTTTTTTTTTTTTTTTTTTTTTTTCCTCCTTTCAGTTTCCGTGTATGTAATTTACGGTTTTTAGGAAATGTCTTAAAATCTTTTGAATTAGATTTCATAAAAAAAAAAGTTACTCTCCTTGAAATTGAAATTTAAATCCTCTCCTTTCTAAACAGATTAAAAAGTTGAGATCTGTTTCTCTCTTTTCTCATCCTTCTCAAACGCACAACCTTTTTTCCCTCGTCTTCTTACCCTTCTTTCTTTTTCCGATATAACTTTCTTACACAATCATTCGCATAATCTCGGGACATCTCTTGTTTGGCTGGCTCCTTATACTTTTATATTTATATTTTCTTGAAACTTTAATTGCTTTGAAAAAAAAAGTCGAGAGATTTTGTCTTGAATGACGTCACGGTGTTTTCTAAATTTTGACCCGAAAATAAGTGAATTAATTTGATTATTTGTAAATTAGTTCAAGAAAACTTTTTTTTTTTACAAAAAAAAATAAAAAAGTAAAGGAATAAAGGAAAAAGAAATTTAATATTCTGAACAGATTTTATTTGAAAATTATTATAGAAAGGTACTTTTCACCTTGAAATACTCACCAATTATTGTTTCAAAAAAAAAAGGTAGTTCAATCATAACTTCCCTTTTATAAGATTATTCGAGGTAAGTTTTTAAAAGTGCAGATTTTTTTTTTTCCGATTTGATGTCGTGTGGCGCAGGAACCTTTTTTTTTTCTTTTTTTTAATTCTTCAAATCTCATTCGAATTTAGTTTCGAATAAATCACATTGATATGTCAAGGTCAGATGATGTTGTTGTTAGTCGGTATTATAGCGCTGGTGAATTAACACCTCACATATCAATGAATCGTGAAGTCGATGATCTTCATATCACCGCTATGTCTTCTTCCGACACAAGTTCAGATTTAGAATGGAAGGAATTTGATGATTCCGATTATGAAAACATAATTACATCAAATCCATCAATAACCTGTAATGAAAGTAATATTGATAATGACGATTCAGCAATTAAAGCCACAAGGTGGACACTCCCTGGTACATCTTTACCATCACTTTTGTCATCTCCACATCCTTTGCAAGATAGAACCTCGATTCCTGTAAAGTTAACGAATTCCATGATTAAATCCGCCATAGATAATTCTAATGAAAATGATTCGAATTATATTGATGATGATAACAAAAGTTCTGATTTAGGTGGAATTATCGTTACAACTGTAAAAGTGATTGAGGTTTCTGTTTCGCAGTTAAATACGCATCAGGAATCTACATCATTAACTCAAGAACAAGAAATAATTTCAGATCCTCCAACAAAGATAACTTCGCCTTTGAAAACATCCGGAAATTCTCAACAAATTCAAGGTGTCAACAGTCATCAATCAAATAAACGACACGCCATTATAAATTCAAGTAAAAGAAAGAACAATGATGATGATAAGGTAAAGCAAAGGAAGGATTCCACAAAAGGAAAGCAACGTTCAGGAATACCGATTAAAAAAGGGAAACTGAATCAAGTTGTTACCGTACAAGATAAGAATAATAATACTTCGGAAATTCCAACGTCAAAGCCACAGAATTCAAACGTAAATAGAACACGATCTACGAAACGTACTCCTTTAAAACGTTCACAGCAAGTCGTGAAAAAAGGTACAAGAAGACGTCGTCAAATGGAATACGCTCCCACATCAAATCCTTTATCAAGTAATGACCCAACTGATATGGAAGCAGATTTGCCTCAAATAAAAAGCCAAGGTTTCCCCTGGATACCTGGTCCAATTGGTCCTCCAAAATTAATTCATGCTTCACTTATACCTTTACCTCAACATAATAAGAAACGTTCGACTTCTAATCAAATGCACAAAAAAATTCCATCGATACAAGTGGATAAATCTTCAAGATCATTTTTACAATCATTTAACCCTAAAAATGCATTTGCTGGCTTAAAGTCGGAATCATCTAGTTCGACGAAGAAGACACAAGTTAAAAATAACGCTCAAGAGAAAAACAAGAAACAAACCCAAACACAAACACAAGGAACAAGGGTTTCACTTGAAGTTAAGCAAGCAAATCGTGCTTCACAAATATTTAGAAGACAATTGTTGGAACAAAGCTTAGCCGCGTCATTTACTGAATTGGTGGTAGCTAACGCGGCTCAACAAAATCTGAATCAACAAAGGCCACTAATACGTAAAAGGACGAAAAAAAGCAGTAACGCGAAACTTGAAGACAGAGAAGTAAGGAGAGAAAGGCGAAGAAGGGAGAGAGGAGTAAATAAAATGGAAGCGAATGGCATAAACAAAACTGAAGTAAAGTTAGAGAATAACGACGGCATAAAGAGTAAAGAAGTAGGAACGGGAACGAGATCGAATGTAACATCGAAAAAAGTCGTGACGTCCGAAAGAAAAGAATCACAAAGTTCATCACAGCCATCGTTTAGGCGTAAAACAAATGAAAACATCACACCTACTGATTTAAAATTGAAACAAAAAACAACAAACGATTTGTCACCAATCCTTTGCAATTTACCAACTATGGCTGGAGAAATTATGAAGTCAACTTTTTCCGAACAACCACCATTTCCTACTCATTTATCATCACGAAAAAGTTCAGAGCCGAAAAGAAATAATTTTAGTGTAGGACCACCACCTCTTTTTTTAATTAATTCCGCGACCACAACACCTTCAGAGGAATTGGACATCTTAAAAGATTTTATTAAACCGACGATTGATAATATTGAAAAAGATTCCGAGAATCAGGTCACGTCACCTATATTTACATCACCCGTTGTTACTTCACCAGTTTCATCAATACCTGTTCCTACAACGCCAAGATTTAACAAACGTGGAATGAGCTTTTTTGGTTTTTTCAATAAACGTGAACAATCGAGTCAACCAACATCCCTGCATGGCTCCCCAACAATCCCGTTATCTCCAAGATCTCCAACAAATTTCTCTTTATCACCGAGATCATCAAGTTTTTCTCTCTTACCCCGATCACCAAAATCACCAATAAAGTCTCCAACAAGCTTTTCTTTTCTACCACGATATTCACGATCACCTTCGCCAAATCCTCCTCCATCTTCTTCTTCATTAGCATCGCATATACCAATAACAAAAACGCCCGCATCATCACGAGCAACGTCACCGAACCCCTTATCATCACGATCTTCAAGTTCAAATCCTCCGAAATCTCGATTTACGAAGCCAAATTCGCTGAAATCGCGATCAACGACACCAAATTATCCACTGTCTCCACGCTCACCTCTGTCTCCAAGAATTCCTTCATTGCCAGGATCACCCAATTTTCCTAGTTCTTCAAGGCCATTAAGTCCCGGAGGATCTGCAAGCTCTGGTTACACACGTCAACAAACAAAGTCACCGGCAGCGACAGAAAATTCCGAAAAGCTACGAAAGATGCAAAAATTTGAAGAAATTATAGCAAAATCAGAAGCAAATAATAAAAGTACACGTATAGGTAAAATACGTTCATTAAAAACTGCTTTAACGACGACTTCTACCGCGTTGGCTTCTCCAACATTAATACCAGCTTCGTCAGTAACTGGTTCAATTAAGGGGGACTACTCAGCTTCGTCCTCGACGATATCAACAAACACAATGGATATCAATAATATAGTAAATAATTCAAATTCCAAAGGTAAAGAAATGACAAATGACAATCGGGATTCGGTCAATTCCGATAATTATAATCCTGACGAAAATGAAAACATCGGCAAAAGTTCAATTAACAAGGATGATGTCATAAGAGTAACTTTAACTCCTGCTGTTTGCCGATAAATGGACGGACATTAACTTATTTTTGTATAAAACAGACATTTTGTATTTAATTTTTATGAACAATTTTTTTTTTTTTTCATTAAAAAAGTTAAAAGATAACTGGATTTGGTTACCAAATATTTATTATATACCCGCCTACACATAAATCTATATAAATTATTAGTAAAATACAACATATAATCTCTCTATTAATTTAATACAAATTTTATTCATTCCTTTTCTTACTTTTACAAAACAAAAATGTATAGTTATATATATTATACATATATTATTAATTTAGCCAATAATTATTTTGTATTAAGTGAGCTGGTTAAAAGAATTTTCTAATCATTAAACTTAACTGTTAATATATATATATATATATATTTGAGTCGGATTGTCTGATATTGACTTGGTTATATCTATTTCATAGCTTCAAATTCTTTAACTCGCTTCCAAATTTTAATTCTATCAAATATTTCTTCTTCCACCTCAAACAGCAAATAAGGTTGAACGGCCCATCTTTCACTAATCAATTTGATGTTATTTATTCCATTTTCCTCATCATTATGATCGATCTTAAGACATCCCCCGAAAATCAAATTTTTTTTATAACATAATTCCTTTTCATACATTTCGACGATTCTAACAATATAATAATTTGATGTGATAATTGGTATATCAGCTATATCAACTGGATTGTCAAAATTATCAAATAAATTAATTGTTTGCTTCTTCGGTGGAGTTGATTTTGATTTCTTGGGAGATTGTTTTGACTTCTTTTTTTTAGATGATTTTGTTGGTGTTGTAGGTGGCGTTGATGATATGGAGTTGGTATTCTTAGGTGACTCGGGAGAAGACGAAGACGTGTTAGTTGATAAAAATACTTGATTCGGGTTAACTAATTTATTACTTTGATTTAAAATTCCATTCATTAAATTAATGATTTCTTCAAATTCTTCTAAAGTAGAATGAATTGCTGTCAGTATTTCTTCAATTTCATGAGATTGCTTATAAATCAATAAAGATAAAGATTGCGGTTGTAAGGCAAAAGGAAGATTTTTATGAGATGAAGAAGGTATTAAATTGGTGCAAGAAAAGTTTTTGGAAGAGTTGGCATTGTTTGAGCTAAATAGAAAATTAGAAGTATCTTTTCGTTGCGTTAATATGTTTAATATAGAAGAAAAGTACGCGCAAGAACGAGAATGTTTTGAACACCAATCTTTACAAAGATGGTCGATACGAATGAGATGTGTTATATGATTGGGTGTTGACATTTTATTTATCCGGGGGGAAAAGAAAATTTTTTTTTTATGTACGGGTTTTAGTTTGTGTAACTCCATAATTTTTTTTAAGTCGATCCTTTTTTTTTTTTTTTTTTTTTTTTTTTTTTTTTTAATTCTTTTGTCCATTATAATGGATTATTATTTATAACCATGATAGAAATTAATATCACAAATTCTAAGCAAACTTTACAAGAATCATATAAGAAATCAACGGATAATGGTCAACAAAGTCATTTACATGAAAATGGAATAAGTAACGATGAATTCGAAGAAATGAATGCAATTACTGATCATCTATCATCTTTAGACAAGTCACAAGAGGATGATCAAAATAATAAAAGTTTTATTGTTGATGGTACGATGAAGGGGGATCGTTGCTGGGAATGTACCTTTGAGGGATGTGATAAATCATTTAAATTTCGATGTCGACTTGAAAAGCATGAGAAAACACATTCTGAGGAGGTAATGTCTTTGGGAATGATTGCATCACCTTTAAATTAAGTTTGATCTTTTTCAAAAATTAATTTGATTTTAGCGACCTTTTGTGTGTTGTGAATCAGGATGTGGGAAATCATATAGACGTATAGATCATTTACGTATTCATGCTGTAACGCATGGTGAAGATACCAAACCTTTTAAATGTTTGGTGGTTGGGTGTGAATCTAAATTTTCTCTTAAAAGTCATCTAACGAGACATAAAAGGGAACAGCATGAAATTGAAAGGCCCTTCAAGGTATTAACATCGCGTTTCTGTTTGGATTTGACTTATTTCACTAAGGAATTCATTCATCTTCCGTTAAATAGTGTAATATACGAGACTGTAATCAATCTTTCACGCAAGGTTACTTGTTAAGAAGTCATATGACTATACATACGGGGAAAAGACCCTATCCATGTGAACATCCCGAGTGCACGAAAAGCTTTTCTTCTTCCACCAAATTACGAGATCACGAGAGAATACATTCCGGTATTATTTCATTTATAGGTTTTATTACCATCTTAGGAATCTCTTTTTTTCAGCTGAAAACTTTTTTTTTTTTGGTTATCAGGACAAAAACGATGGCGATGCGCATTCCAAGGGTGTACGCAAGATTTCGTCAAATATGATCAATTGTGTAAACATTTGCGTCAAGATCATAAACCGACATGTGAAATATGTTATCAAAATGTTAAAGACTTTAAACAATTGAGACTTCATATGAAAACTCATGATCCCGATCGTTTATTGTTTCCTTGTAGCTGGGAAGGTTGCGATAAATATTTTCTCAGTGTGAGTTTGCATTCGAAAAGAAGATTTTTTCATGAAATTGATTTTTCTGATTTGGGAGAGAGTAAATAATGATTTCATACCGATTACTTTTTCTTAGATCAAATCATTAAGTGTTCATACCAAAGCAATTCATAAAAATATTCGTCCATTTGTTTGTGAAATTCCGTTTTGTGAGATGTCATTTGCTTATAAAAAAGTTTTAACAAATCATGTCAAAACTATTCATGAGGTAATTGATATACTTTTATTTTTTCCAAAAAAAAAAAAAATTATTCGCTAAAAAAAAAAATACATAATTTTCCTCGCAATAATAATAGCAATCACGCCCACGTAAAATTCGTAAATTGGATGGTGATATTAAGGATTCTAAGATAAACAGATCTATTACAGATGTTGAACACCTTACAGGCTACGATTATGAAAGGGGCAGGAACATAAAATGTTTAATTAATTCTTGCAAATACATGTTTAAAAGAAACTATGATCTTGAGAGGCATCTGAAAAGTTTTCATAAGGATTTAATAGAGGTTCAAGAGACTGAATATCAAGCAGTTTTCGAAACTTAAAATATCAATGAAAAATAAATTATGAAAATCTTTTATTATAAAGTCTTGAATACAATGTATAAAAAAAAAATTGTTATGGTTAGACAACCAATATTTCAATGTCAATTATTTTTTCTCACTGACAAATCGAATTCGTTAAATTAACATCTTGTGGATTTTTATTACTATTCAATACCATGTAAAGGAGAGAACTGTCGACATTCGGTGTGATAATATTGCAGCAATTACAACATCAATTCGACATTTCATATAGATAATTTATTTTATTTTATTTTATTTTCTCGTGATAAATAGCACGAACGGATAACATGTCAATTAACTCATTTAACTATCAATCATTCTACAACCAAATATTTGATTTTTTTTTTTTTGCACTATCCGTTCAAGTTTTATAACGCGTAATGAACTTCATAAAAACGACCTTTCTTTTATCTTTTATTAAAAAGTAAGGTCGAATCTATGTAACTTTTCAGCAGCATTTTTAATCCAAATTCGGATTCCTCATACCAAAGAAATGAAGAAAAAGCTGGAAATGACTAAAGTGGGCTGATAATGAAGCGGAGAGGTAAGGCCCGAGGATGATTTAATTATTTATAATGTGTTAAGTACATTTATCAAAGATCTTGTTAAAAAAAAGAGAAAAGGTCATTGATAAAAAACGTGAGATAAAGGTTTTCATAAAAGATGTCCGAGTCTCTTTATTATATAAAAAAATCTTCAAAGAGAAAATTCAAAAGCAAATCATTCTAGTCTTTATCGAGTTCATTTATGGGAATTATATAAACCGATTTTTATAATGTACAAATCTTTGTGTAATCAACATAAGTTTCTTCACATACTTGCCTCTGCTCCTCAAACACTAACCAAAAAAAAAATCAGGTTATAAATTTTTTTCTTATTCATAATCACCTTTCATCATTAATTACTTACTTTTTCTTTCCTCGTCATCCAATTTTTCCAAGAAATCGTTATGGTCCTCAAAAAAACGTTTTGCTCTATTCAATATTTCCACAGCTCGATCGATTTTACTCTTGAAAAGTAATCGCAAAAAAAATCTATTTAAGTAAAGCAGAATTGAGCTAATAACAATATTTCAACATTATAGATAAAGATACCCTTTTGAGAATATCCGAGAATTCGTTTATTTTGGTTAAATCCAATTGATATTGTCTTTCATCACCATAAAGTTGATATTCCCGATTTATAACTACTTGCCACCTTTTTTGGTCGGAAGGAGACACGTAAGTTAAAGAAGACCAAACATTTTGTTAAAGGTATTGTCAAGATGAAAGTAAGGATACAGTAAAATGTAATCAGAAGCAAAAGTGTAAAATTGAGGACAATAGTTTCTTAAATTCATATTAATGGGAGTAACTTTTAATGCATTCATTACATCATTTGCAAACATCTTTGGTAGTTGCAACGTTGAAATTTCTCTATAATAACAAATTTATTGATCAAACTTCGAAATTACATTTCGCACATAAACGAAGCCTTGGAAATAAGTTGAAGAATCTAACCTTTCGACAAGTTCTTTTGCGATGTAGAAAGGAAATTCAACAATTTGATCTTTCAAAATTTCCTATAAATTTGAAAAGATTTTATTATTATTATTATTTTAGAAAAAAATTGGGAAAAATTATCTTTACTTTAGTTTTATCTGTTCCGATTAAACTTCCAAGTCCTTGAACATTTTGATTGAATTTAATCGGAATTTTCTAAGAGGATCAAAAGTCATTTAGATGTAAAATTTCGTTAAAATTTTTAAAATAAATATTTTATAATTACTGTATCTCTAGCAAAGAATTCTTTGACGGTTTGTGATGGGTACATGATTTAGAATAATGAAATTGAAAAGTGGGTGAAAAAAAAAAAGAACGAGTTTTATTTCCAAAAATG